TGGTAAACGGCCAGGTACGATGTTATGTGAATGGACATATCGCGGTCTTAAAAAGTCTCATAATTAGAAACTTTTTTAAAACCTAATTGTACTCCTTCCTTAAGTAATAAATATAAAGAAGACGTGACTCTCTGTTGAGTGACTAAAATAAAGCACATTTTTGTTTGTGGTTTCTATAAAAGATATTTGAATTTCCAAGACCATTGAGAATCAATGGGAAAAATGCATGCTACATAAGTAGTCATTTTTTTACCGAGCACGCTTTCTACAGGAGATTGAAAAGAAGTGCCTTTTAAAGCCGACATCCTGCCAAGTCTAAAATGTTATAAGAGTATGCCTTATCGAGTGTGCCGCCACCTGAGAGTTAGCGTCTTCCCGCCTCACTGCTGCTGCGTGCTCGGCAAGTCGCGTACGGAGTAATCTCCCAGTTTCTCCGACATCATTGCTTTGTCCGCAACTACACCAGATCCGGTAAACGACTCCAGGCGTTTCCTGCCGTGGCAGCGGGTCTTTTGGCCTCATTACTTGGCGCCTAATGGTTGCTTCCGGCCTGTGTGCAACCCCAACTCCAAGTGGAGTGAGAAGACGACTGACGGCTTCCGAGACGTTCTTCACGTACGGAAGAGCCCGCCAAAATTTGGGGCTAGTTGGATTTGGTCTCTGGTGTCCTTTTTGTATGCACTGGTTGACAAAGTTGCGCGGGTAGCCATTGGCTCTCATTACCCGTCGAAGATATTGTAATTCAGCAACCTTGTCTTCCATTTCACTGCAGTGCGTCTCAACACGCCGGTATAGCGCCCTTACGCAACTGCGTTTGTGACTGATCGGGTGGTTGCTATTGAAGTTCAGTATTTGCGTCGTATTTATCGCTTTCCTGAAAACTTTGGTTTTTAGGCCACCACAATCTTTGCGGCAGACGAGGACATCCAGGAAGGCTAGCTGATTGTTTTCCTCCTCCTCCATCGTAAATTGAATGTCCGGGAAGACGGCGTTGAGTTGTTCTTTGAATGCCTTTGAATGTTCTTTGTATGCCTTATGATAATCAGTATCACAACCACGACCAAGTAATCCTTCCTAATCGAAAACGCATTTCAGAATTTCAGCCAACATTTCATGAGATAGGTGACGCACTGTATGTTAAAGAATGGGAGGACGTCCCATAACGGATATGGACATGCTTACAAATCTTCAAGTTGTTAGTGTTAACCTGTTGACCTAGAAGATGGACAGGTGAGTTCCGTGCCTTGACCGTTTGCATATAAAAAGTTCCGAGGCTTGATGTACACGTCAGGGTTTTGGAGTGTTTACCAGTTTAATTATCGAGTTGCCCAATAAATTATATGAAAATCCGAAACGGGAGTCCGAATCCACCGTCCAAATTAAATTTTCTGTCTCTTGTTTACGACATATATTTGACCACCGACTGAATAGCCGGGCTGAATTTCTGACTAGTAAGATACGTGCACAAGTATCAGAGATAATTGGGACTCCTAAATTCGAAAACATGCGCGATCTTGCGGATTTAGGATATTGTAATTTTCCTCTTCCTGGAAGGCCACGAAGCTAAATGATGCTGAAAGGATGAATAACTCCAACACGCGGGTGCCTATCCTACTTTCAGACCTTGACCTATGAAATCACACAGAAAGTCAGACTTGGATGTTTGCCATTTGACAAAATGACTCGTTAATGCACGAGTTTGAGGTTCTTGTTGCAACGGCTCATGTTTTAAATAACACTAATGTGAGGTCCCATGAGCCCTTTCTTTTGAAGATACGAATGCTTTGAGTCGGAAAGGAGGTCGCATATTGCACGCGTGTACGTGTTATTTGATATTTTCAGTCAATACAGCCACGTTGAAATTCACTGTTACTTAGCACAAAATCCGTTTTACCATGCTGAGATTCCCGCTGAAGTCACTACCCGTTGCTGCAACCGTTCTTAAGTGTCTTAACTTAAGTGTCTTAACTGACTATTAACTAGTCCTCTGGACTCGGTCATAGACTGAAACTGCTCATTCTGTTACATACCACCTTGAGTCAACGCTTGGTGGATTTTCGCATCTAATAAATTCAAGACAAGAGATTGTGACTTACTTGTTTTCTCTTGTAAAACATAGGAGAGTGCCACTGGTGAAAGTGATGCGTTTTGAGGGTAGAAGATGGCCGCGGCAGAACCGTCCTTCATTTGGCTCTCGATCACCGCAACTCTTCGAACTGAGGCGAAATGAGACAGATAGACAGGATTGATATTTTCGGCTTGTTTTATTTTTTCGTTTATCACTGCTGTTGCTTATTTTAGTCTCTTACCCCATTCAGTGACTGCGCCATACAACAAAGTGTGTTTTAATATCTTTTTTTATAAGCAGTGTTTACTCGGAGGCGTAAAATTCTATTGGCAAAACCGTGCAACCATTGAAGCCGATGCTATTCAGCGTCCTGTTTGAGGACTGAATTTGCATGCCCAAATGCGGCAGCCTGTCTAAGAATCTACTGCTATGTTTGTATCAGTGTTCCCTTAACCATCCGGATATCGTGGAACTGGTTAGATTGAACGGGTTTTCGCACGGCAAGGGCGTCCGCAGATCTGCCCTGACTGAAAAACCGAGATGGCATGTCCGTTCACGGCAAAATTGAAGTGCCACTATACTCATTTGCGTGGACATCCCCAGTTTCAATCAACATGATGTGAGCATGTGGATAATGCTCGATGGTCAGCCAATCGGGGATCAGATCTGCGACGCGCGGCCTGCGATTAGACTGTCACAACTGTTGACGTCAAGGAAACCAGACAGTGACCACGTCGTACTCTTTTTCTTGGTTAGGGCACTTTTTAATCAGCCCCTTTTTGTCCAGCAATGAGATAGGTAGTTTCGGCGAGACTCATGTAAAGTGTTCGGGAACATGCAGTTACTACCAGGTGTGGTCTGCAGGCCATGAACAGCTCATACCCAGTGCATTGGTCTCTCATAATTCAAAGGGGTGAACAATTGAGTACCTGGCACTTCGGCCGAGTCCTCCGAATTCAGTTTGCTGATCGCTAATCCTTATCCTTCCACAAGCAGGAGTAAGGTTTACCTTAAAAGTCCTATGGACAGTCCGTTTTTTGGCTGTCGCAAGGATAGTTTTGTCAAAGATTTTTGATTTGGTCACTGAGCACTAGGAAGTTCTGATCTCTGCATCTCAAAATGTTTTATTGAAGCTAACATGTGCCGCACGGAATGCACATATGTCGTCGGCACCTTCGTCTGCTACCGAATGGCTAATATCTTTTTTCTAAAATAAAGTCCTATAATCAAAACTGTTTGGAAAAAATGGGGTTTAACGGCACGGTATTTTTGTCGATGAAAAGTTTTTACTTTCCCTGAAATTCTCGTACGTACGAAAACAATTTATTCTACTGGCAGCTGCGTGCAAAATTCGCTATTGATTGTCGGCCGAACTTACTGAGCAGTCGAACTAGTCTACCTTTCGAGCGGTTCCCTAACCTATTTTAGATGTTTATTTAGCCAGAAGTTTTGTCTGAGATGGTAGTAGGTTTTCAAATTGTACCGTTTTCCAAACGGAAGAAAGATCATAACTAAATCGCTAACGTCGTTTTCTGAAATAACACCCTATAAACAGAGCTGTTTGGAAGAAGATGGGTTTTAACGGCACGTCATTTTTGTTGATGAAACGTTTCTATAGTAGATGTGCTAACTCATCAAATGTCAACCAAAATTTCGAAATGCGTTCTCGTTTCGAAAAGATAAATTAAGTAGTGTTGTAATACTAATCACGATGCAACATAAATCTATAATGACCCAGTTACCTCAGGGTGTCGGCTTTTGAAAGAACTTATTTTCGGCTGCATGCAAGATCTATACTCTGCAAAAAATGACTACCTATGTAGTATGCAATTTTCTCATTGATTTTCGATGCCCTTGAAAATTCAATTATATTTCATGGAAAACATGCATAAAAATATTAATTCTTTTACAATATTGCATGCACTTCTCTACGGTGTTAAGAGGAGACCATATGAGGTTCATAAAATTAAGCAGTGGATTTGAGCAATATTGTTAACTTTACAAGCCACATTCGTAAATGCAGATACATGAAGTTTCATGAAAGGCCATTTAACGGTATTAAAAAATCTCACAATAAGAAACCTTTTTAAAACCGAATTATACTCTTTTAAGTACGAAATTGGAAGAAGACGTGATTTTCTATCGAAAAAGTAAAAGAATTAATATTTTTATGCATGTTTTCCATGAAATATAATTGAATTTTCAAGGGCATCGAAAATCAATGAGAAAATTGCATACTACATAGGTAGTCATTTTTTGCAGAGTATAGATCTTGCATGCAGCCGAAAATAAGTTCTTTCAAAAGCCGACACCCTGAGGTAACTGGGTCATTATAGATTTATGTTGCATCGTGATCAGTATTACAACACTATTTAATTTATCTTTTCGAAACGAGAACGCATTTCGAAATTTTGGTTGACATTTCATGAGTTAGCACATCTACTGTACTTTTCAATAACTGACGACATTTATTTGTACGTGCCAGAGAAAGCAATAAAAAGACCTCGCGGTGGTTGTTGTGTGACGGCGTGACGGAGTAAAACGCGACCTTTTTGACAATGTCTGCAAAGGGGCAATAAATTCATTTACTATTTTCCTTAATTGATAAAAATAGTGTCCGCTTTTACTTGGTGACGATATAGAAGGTTAAAATTGGTAAAACTACAAAGTTCTTTGGCCTTTAGCTCTTTTGTTCAACTCAAATACTCCCGGAGCAAGTGACCTCGGTCATAAACCATACCCTTACAGATCATTGCGAGAGGCACTCTGTATAATTTACACTCAAATTACCCCGCCAATTTGCATATGCAAAAGTATGCTTTATGCGAAACAGTAACGTACAACTGCATTTGGAATACTTTTAGATTCCAACGTACCTGACATTACTTGGTAGCAGAATGTGGGCTGCAGGCATGGTGATGTGTCGGAGCCCTTACTCAGTGACTGGTTCGAAGTCGCTGACTGTGACAAAAGAAACGAAACATTAATGAAGCGGAGTAAATACCAACTTGCGCGCAATGGTGCCGTTTTATAGCCAGCTCAGGACACATACATAAGTGACAAAGAAAACGAAAATGACTCTCAGCAGAGGTTTTTGTCGTAAATGGCCGATGTTTAGACGAAGCGAACAGAGAACATATTCCTCCTGAATCTAACCAGAGGAGATTTGGAAATTAAACGAATTGACATTCAATAGGCAAGCCTGCAACAATCACTCACTACCGAGCCAACTAATTCTTTTTGTAATCCAGATTTTTTAGTCGATGAGAAGGAACTTTCGGTCTTAGACGCCTGGAATAGTAAGGCCTCTTACATCATGATTCCTTATTTAACTAGCATAATATTGCTACGTTTATCAATACTCTTCATGAAAAATACAACGTAATCAATAGTCATTTCAGTAGCCCACTGAAATGTATGATTCTTCTTTAACGGATTTGTTCAAGTGGCATTTTCAAAACTCTAAACCATGCCAATGGAATGTTAGGTTTAAGTTTACCCAGACACTAAACGCCCTTTTTAAGAGTTAAACGTTACTGCCTTTAGAGGATAAATTGAAGAAGACGTAAGAAACATGATTATTGTGTACACCTTCCAAAAGTATATTTGGATTTATAAGAGTACTCCCACACTGTGAATAGATTCCGTCTAGTTGAATGACAATTGTTAACGTATGCGCTTTTCTCTAGTGGCTGGAATGATTTTCATTCAAAAGTCAATATCTCCATGTCACTGACACATCTCGGTACTGTGGTTCGCAATAATCAATATTACAGCCCCGCCTTAGTATTTCGTCCCAAACGAGATAATTTTTCTGAATTTCAGCAATTGGTTCATAAAATATGCCACATATTGTAAGTGTTTTTCTCCTCAATATCTAGTGTAGGTCCTCCTTCTCAGCCTCAACGTCATCTGTAAAAGGTCTCCTTGTATCGTTTATTTTATACCTGGGTTATAATTTCCCCCACACAAAAGACTTCGTCTTTCTTCTACTCGTCAGGCTGCGAGAATCCAGGGTTGCTGTTGGGACGGAATCTCTGTGCAAATACAAGAGTTCGAAATACCGGAAAACTTTGGAAGAAAGGGGGAGAGAGTGTTTCAAACACCCCACGTCTACTTTGAATTTTAAAAGGACAATGTGATGGCGAAAAATTTCGTCTATCGACTGCAGTACGAGACATGAATTTGAAGTATTAGAAAATTTTGTAAGAAGTGATGGAGGGAGCGTTACACGCAGATACATTTACTCAATAATTTATGCAGGGAATCTGCTGGCGGAACATCTCATCTATCGACTACCATTCTGAAGGTAACGAGCTAGCACATAAAACAGGTGATTTTCATGTCACCATAGGATTAGCTGACAAAACATACGACTAATCACTGGACAAATGAATCATGTCAAAATGTTTTTCAAACCATTTTGCGCAGAAGAGGAATGATGTTGAGAAGTAACTTAAAGGGCATAAAATACAGCTCAACAAAACGCATGCTAAACAAAACACTTACAATAGGAGCTTCTGTGAACGTGAAAAATGAGAAAAAGTTCCGATTCTGCTGAAAAAACAGTTCCATTTTCTGACAGTGACCTAAAAGTGAGGGAAGATTTAAAACAATGGTATTTGTGGCGTAGGTGAAATTTCCATGCATACATGCTAACGCAGCCGCTATGGGGATGAAAAGAACCACAAGTAATAAAATGCAAATCTTTAAGCTTTAAACAACTCTGTAACAAATATTCGGAAATCAGCATTCCCGAACGGCAGAGGTAAAGAGTTTGCAAATTTAATCTTAGACGGTTGGATAGAGTTGCTTTCAGAATGCGGATATCATGAACCGTTAAAAGATAGAATGAGGGAAGTCAGAGTAGTCCGTAACTGAAAATTATCATTTTTATGTGGTGCTCACCTAACAATACCTGAGGCTGTTTTCCTTTCGCCTGCATACAATAACAGATTGATGGGGTCAGGGACAGCGGGTTAGATCTTACTCGTGGTGTGTTCGGGGTGTAAAAGTAAGGCCTCTGGACATCAGACAGGCTATATGAAGTTCTGCGGGAATTAGTATTCCGTCTTGCAATCAGATTGGCTAATTTTATCTGATTAGTGTTCGGACTGATACAAATGCATGGGTAGTCATTTGTTTACAGCGCACGGTGGCACTCGTTCCGGCATCATCCCTGGACTTAAATTATTTCAAAAATTCGAGAATTAAGTACTGCGACTCCAAAGCACTGTCGGCAAGGTCCAGGTTAATCGTTAGCCGACTCGCACACTGTCGAGTTTTAGATTTTTTTACATGTTTCCAAGTACTTCAGTTTAGAGAAAACCCTAAATATCCACCGAATTGGTTGATCGATTTGATTACAAATAGCTCGCATCTATGACTTAATGCGTTTTTGCGACAGCGTTTAAGATCTGCTTCTCACAAAGACGATTTTAAAGGTTGGGGGTAGGTTGGTTGGGTAGGACTTGAAGTTGCAAACCGACAGATGGAATGTAAACATTGTGGCTGCCACTTGGCCTAATCATACGTAAGATATAATTTTTATCTGCTAAAAATAACCAGCAATAGCGCTGGGGTCCACACTCTATAGCTCTAGAACTTCACTTATCCTGGCAAATGTTTCCATCTACACAGAAATTTACTTTTGGGCTCCCCTTATAAAAGGGATTTATGGTAGGCTTGAAAGGCCGACCGGGATCTCACCTTTGATGTTATAACAGGCCAGACACGCTTACCACTTTCAATGAAGGAAAAGCGCAGATTTTACTAGTACTCCCGATTTGCGAGTTGACTTTGTTTTACAGACCATATATATATGAAAAACACAACACTAACCCAAATCCATGCAGATTGCTAGTAGGAGTGCTCGCATGATCATTTTTTCCATCTCCTTTGCTGATCCTCTTTTGCAAGCAACTGGGAAACAAAATGAAGAGGTTCCTCATAGTTTTAACGTGGACAGAGATTTTGAACAAAACAAGTGGGGTAATAAACCAGCATTTTCTATCATCCACTGGGTGCAATCTTTTAACTTTGGCCCTTCAGTACAGTCTACTCAATTTTTCGTTCTGCAGAACGAGCAAACACCGAACACTTACCCTTCGTCGTTCAAGACCGCTCGACGCCGAATGACAGCGGTAGAGTCGTCGAGGAACCAGCACATTGGTGAATAATGTTTGTGATCATGTGACACGACATGACCACTGAAAAAATGAAGCGGACTTGCGGGCCCGCCTGTCTGCTTTGAAGCCTGGCTACGGCACGAACGAATACCATGACTGCAAGGAAGCTGTGCAAAAATGATGTTGCTGTAGCTGTCAGATCCTACTGTCGGGCGGGAGGCAAAAGATAGCCTCAAAATGCGGGGCGCAAAAAGGCACCGGAAATGGCAGATACTTTATTACTCTACAGCGAAGACCTTTCCTGATTCACCCCCCATTCTGGAACTGCAGAAGTAGGGGTTGGGGTGGTTGCCTGCAACAGTTCCTCGTGAGCAGTTTTAATTGGCGACTAGGTGTGTACGGGTGGTTGCCTGTCTGTTATCTCACAAGTGTGCAGCTAAACCTCGGAAGGTTTGTTTCCTACGAGGCAGGCTCAACTGCTCGCATTCCTGGTTTTGTATATTGGTGATCCGGCAACAGACAGGTAGGGGTCTCCAAAATGTCCAATGATGACAAGAGCATATGTGTCTTTGGCATGTCAGACCGCCTAAAGGATTGTAAATCAACGTGGTAAGATAACTCAGAACGCTGCCCCTATAACAAAAAAAACTGTGCTCAGTTGTTTTGAAAAAATAATCTGTTTTCTTGGTGAGGCCAGCCAGTGTGATTCACTATCTGATCTGTTCCGAAACGACCGACAGTCGGGGAGTCATCGAGTGAAGCCAAGCTTTCCGGTTTTAATTTGTCATTGGTTTGAATTCGCCTGATCAAATTGCGCATTCGGTCTCTGGGTGATTGGAAGCATGACTGACTGAAGAGGTGTGAGTAGGCCTGAAACAGCCGTC